TTTTGTTAAAATCTCTAATATACTTCTTCCAAGCAATACGTGACGTTTTGAAATCAGTGAATTTTTCGTCACTCATTTAAACCCCCACATTTGAGACACTACATAAACTCAAAGTCGTTTTTAGGGCACGGCGTGACTGGCACCCTGAAGATCTAACATAATGGTAGGATGGTAGACAAAATTCACCAGTTGAATTACTCTGCTTTAATGACTGCAAACGGTGAAAAATGTGACCCAGACATTAACTGACGCATTGGATTTTCGGCAGAAAAATTTTTGAGGCTGTAATGAATATGGATTGAAGGACTGCTGAATATCAGTGAAGACAAAATCACTTTGAAAGCAGATCTCTTCTCCGTTCTTTAGTAGGACCCGAAATAGTTGCAGTCTTGAAATGCGATAAATGATGCTGCTTGCGCATCACCCACAGATTTTAGTGATATCATTCAATAACGAATGATCACATACTTAGAACCACCAATTTCAAGAAGTTCTTTGAAGAGCTATGAGACGACGTCTGTTCTAGTTCGATAAAGTGGATCAAACCTCAGAAGCTGAGAACAAAATGTTCTTCCTATGGGAGCCCACTATGAGGAACGGAGGCCAGTTCAAAGACTGGCAAAACCTATTAGAGACTGTTCTGCTTGCGATAAGGAATATGTCCTTTGTCGAAGCGGTTAATGCTACCTGAAGTAATCCGAAGAATTCTTTTTTGCATATTGGATATGATGAATTTGGGGTGGACTTAGCAGTTTTCGTGATAATGATGACAAATAATAACAACACCTTATTTACGAAAATGGCTGTTGATTTTTAAAAGATCTTTAAAAATAATTTCAAGCTTTGTGAAACGCCAATTTAACTACTATTCATTGAAATATAGCACAACTAGATTTTAGAGCATACCGATTTTTTGACCTTATATCATGGGTATTATTCAACTAGCTGTCGTTTTCGGTTTCTGTTGTGGTTTTCCACATCAGCTGATTAGCTCAAAGTCCTTATAGATCAAAACGACCCGTCATAAGCTGCAACGGAGGACAAACACTTAAAGACGTGTACGTTGAAGAAGGTCTTTGTATTTAGGGCTGAAGCATCGTTGGGTCTCTAGTCTGATAGACCAGTGTATTATGATTTGTGCTGTATTTTGGCAAGTAATGAAATAAAATCAATGTGCTTGAAACGAAAATTTTTCCACCAATGTGCAGCACTTCTAGTGGTCATCGGCGACATGGACCATAGGCATGAAGCAACTTAGCATGGAAAGGTATATCTTTGAAATAACCAGAAGAAATAGGAGGATGGAAGCATGGTTGACAGCGTAAACAGTAAGTCATTTTCTGGAGAAGTAGCTAGGCTAGCAATTTTCACGACTCGTCGTCAGACAGACATTAGTCTTTGTTGCAGAGGGAAGTAAGCGACCCATATGAAGTCGTCCAAATCAATGGCAGAATGAGCTGAAGAAGTTTGCTGCACCGAGATGGATGAAAGTGGCAGACTACAGAGGTATATGGCAAGACTTGGAAAGGCCTTCATCCAGCAGTCGATCAAACAGGGTTGAAGATGATAACAAATTAAAATGCCGAACAAACTACTCAATTCCACGTCTTAGTAATGAGTTTAAAATCAGAGCCAGATATTTATGGTGTCATTAAAACATCGTTACATCGTGACCTGCGTGATAATTGATCTGCTGTTGCGTTGCGGGAACACGGTTCGATTTCAGATTGTAGGCGTGTTCGATGGTTACGATATAACCAATCGACTCGTTCGCGATGCGAAGCTGAGCGCATGTTCAGTTTTTTGGAAGGTATCGATTTTGGGTTAGGCGCGAGATTGGTGACTTTCGGTTCAGAAAAACATGTTGATGTTCGATAGGTTGAGTGGAGGGTCGAAATTTGAGACTGAACTTTTGGTTTGTGTACTACTGTTTTACTGTGTTTTTAGGTGTTTTAGGTTTTTTGTTATGTGCAGATTTGATTACACCGCGTACATCTGCTTAAATAGTTCATTTGTCATCTAACGGCAAATGTTCAGTGGTCAGCATGTTGGATGTTGAAAAATGGTGAATACGATTTGATGAACACCATCGCCAGATTGAGACTTTGTGAACTCATGAAAATGGCCTATCACTTTGTTAACCGCGCTAGTAGAGTACGGTGTTGTTTTGTGTTTTGTTTTTTGAGGTTATCACTTTTAAGCCGTTTGCGTTTGCAGTACTTCTCTGATTTGTGACGTCCGCTTTATTCGCACCTTTACAACACGTTTACTATGAAGCCCCGGGTACTGCTTTGTCGAAAGTAATATTCCTGTCTCAAAGTTAAGTGT